TAAAATACATATCACAAGTAACCACACTCACTATTAGCGTTAAAAAAAAAGGGGCAAATTACAAACACCCCATCGAGGTTTGGTGAAAATATAGATTCCCCTGAGGTTTGAGAAATTACAAATTGTCCCCTGAAGGTCAAATTTGCATAACAAATTAGGGGAGAATTTGTATGAAAATAAAAACCTTAGAGAGCAATTTGTTATGAAAATATAAGCCTTAGGGGCGAAATGTAATTTCTCAAACTTTAAGAATGAATCTGTATTTTCACTAAATCTGGAGAGATATTTGTAATTTGCCCTAAAAAAAAAGAAGAAAATAATAGGAAAACGACATGATCGTGGTCACAGTCACGTGATTGGTTGACTGTCTATTTTGGCATGTAGTGGACGGGATTAATAATTCCCGCCACAGCCAAACACTCGAAAATATCTTCTAAGAAGGACACACAAAATTTGGATGACGTGGACTCAATTTGGTGTCAGGAGCAAGATATTTTCTACTCTAAGATATTATCGTGGCACGTGTCAATCACTACACCAACGTGGAGATATTTTACTTCTCTTCATTACCCTCCTGTTTTTCTCAAACTACAGCCCTGCCACTCCCACTTTCATCCATTCTTTCTTTCTGCTAATTACAGCGGATTTAAAAAAAAAAAAAAATTTCAATTAATGATTCTATTTTTTTTTCGTCATCTTTTTATTTATTTAATTTATAAAAGAAAGACGAATATTTTAAGCCTTGTTATCTTTGTACACAAATTACTCTAATTATTGAGAAATTCTTGGGGTTGTTTGAGATAATCTATATAAGTGTATTTTTTAATTTTTTATGAAAAAATTGAAAGTATGGGTTAGGTTTGAAGTGATTTGGTAAAGAGATAATATGATTTAAATAAGATGATGTGACTTAAATAAGATAATGATTTTTTGACTTTTTAACTTTTTTAAATTATGACAAACTAGGCCTTACTTTGATGGTATTAATTTAAAAAAAAAAAATAGTGATAAGTTTACTTTATGGGTGTATAAAATATTTAATTTAAAGGTAAATTATAAATATATCTTTGAGATTTGCCTAAAATATAAATTGTTTCTGATATTTCAAAAATTATAAATATCTCTTTTTAAAATTTTTTATTTAATAGAATTAGTTGAAAAAATAAAATTCTTAACTATTTTTTTATACAATAATAAAGTTATCTAAATTATTAATTAAAATAAATATTTAGCATCAGTAAAAATTATTAATTGACTTAATAATTTATTAATAAAAGATATCATTTGTTATAAAGGAATGTGATGTAATTTTTACAATTACAGGAAATAAATCATATTTTAAATAAATTTTAAGTGATATATTTATAATTTATGGTTAATATCTTTCTGTTTTGATTTTAAAGATATGATTACTAAAATATATTGGTGAAAAGTAGTAATCATTATTTTAAAAGATATTATATTTTATTTTTGCTAATGTTGTTATAATATCTTAATTCAAGTAAACTATTAATTTTTTTTGGTCTATTCTCTCACTGCTCTCACTGCTCCTAACTATTTCCGATCATTACTGCTGTCAACCACCACCTCCCGTCGGAGTCGATGGAGTTTGCTACTAACCATTTTGGTGAATTTCCCAACTGTCCACTAATGACCATTTCCACCAACCATTTTCTAGTGACCGAATGTATAATATTAAGATATTTATGATTTGTGTAGTGGAGCGAAGTTACTATTCAATCTGTCATTAATCTATAAGGGCGAAACAGGTGAAATGGTTGTAAAAAGAAAATGTCTCGTACCTCAAATTTTGTGGCTCAAAAGTGATTTAAATGGCCAAAACGACGTCGTTTTGGCCATTTTTATGTTGTTCTGTACTCAAAACGACGTCGTTTTGGCCATTTGAGCCACTTTTGAGCCACAAAATTTGAGCTACGTAGCATTGTTGTTTGAGAGATTTATGAAATCTATCATAAGTCTTATTTTGATAATTTAAATTATTTATTTTTTAAGACTCGTTAAATAAAATATTTATGTAAAAAAATAAAGATGATTAGATATTGATAGCTATATGTTTGAATCAAATTTATATTACAAAGAAAGATGGTTATTATTAAAATTATATTTATCGTCTATTTTTTTTTTAAATTATATTATTCAAACATATAACTATCGATATCTAATTAATTTATTTTTTGTAAAAATATTTTACTCGAGTTCAAAAAAAAGGTGAACGGTTTGGATCATCGCATGCACAATAGTGGCGATTGTGCATGACGCACAACTACCTTCTATCCGTCCAAGGGAGCAATAGAGCTTAATGCGCCCCGAGGCATAGTAAATATCCCAATTCCAAAGAATGAACTCTCTTATACTGTGTTTGGTTGAAAGATTTGGATAGAGATTTAAAAACAAAAAGAGAAAAGGTAGGTAAAATGAAAATAAAATATACCTACATTTCACCTAGTTTCACATACTTTTTTTCTTTCTTTTTCTAAATTCTTTCTCAAATCCCTCAATCAAATACAACGTTAAATTAATTTTGTAAATTACAATAAATGCAATTAAATTAACATAGTTAGCATTTGCCTAGGTATCTCCCTTCCCAAAGCAACTCAAAATGATCCACCACACCTAAACAATGGTAGTGGTTTAAAAGATGCATCCATTCTTGCCAACACATTCACCTATGCATATTTATCAATACTATTGTTGGCTTTGTGTTGTCTCCCATATTTAAAAGTTGCATTCACACTTGGCAAAATATTTATCTATTCGTTTATTGCTTTTCTATAGTATCTCTCACTTAATTAAGTCTTCGCTTTTCTAAAATTTTGGCAAAATATTTTTGATAAGATTTCAGTTTATAAATTAATTTTAAGGGAGATGAATTCCTTGTAGTTGCTTTCAATGTTGTCCAAATAATCCACTCGATATTCTATGGGCAATCAACAACTCAATTGACCGAGAAGTTTCACAGCTAAGATGTATTTAATGTCTTCAATTACAATTCCTTTTGGCACAATTTTTGTTAAGCAGCTATCTATCAATTTCATGGGACCATTTTGAGTAGTACAACTAATGCAATCATAAATTAAAGTTTAAATGCTCAAGTTTTTTATAAGCCAATATTTTAAACTCAAATTATTTGTTTTAACTTCTTGAATAGCATGATTTTCTACTACATGGCAAATTTAAAAAATATAAAAATATTGATAACCTTTTGCATTTTCCTCAAATTTTGGTTTTCAACAATACTAGAAAAGTAACAATTAAGAAGTTCCTTAGCGGTGTTTGTTTGGTAGGATAGAACTATGGGATTGAACTCCATGTCCAATAGAACAATTAATCCAACGTTTGGACAAAAAAATGAAGGTCAGACTAATAATCCCCATATACAGGATAACTCTATCCCATGGGAGTGTGTGATAGAAACAGACAGATTGAACCAATCTCTGAATTAGCTAGTTAAATAACGAAATTGACCCTCAAGTTTATAATATTTTTTTAAAAACATTAAACTTGTTGAATTTCTTTAAACATGTACAAATTAATCTCATGATATATAATTGTTTTCTTTTTACTTTTTGTATTAGAAAAATAAAAAAAGTAAATATATTTTCAATATTTAAAAGGAAAAAAAATATATAACAGATGTTTTCTTCATTTTTAATTTTTTTTTTTTTTGTAAACATAAATGATGAAAGGTCAAATAAAGTTGAAGTTTCGATTCATTTTGTTGCATTAGGGGATGCAACTTTAATTTTAATCATAATAATGTTATACAAACAAATTATTCATTCATTGTTGCTCATTTCGTCTCGTCCCACATGAAATTTTTCTCTTCTTGTTTCACGCTACTATCATTCCATCTTGATTATATTTATTAAATATATTTATATGTGTAATATATAATTTATTTATTTTTCATTATACTAAAATTAAAGTACTAAAATATTATACTTAATATTAATTTCTATTCATTTATTTTCTATCTCATATAATATAATTCTCATTAATTATAAATTATTATTCATAATATATTACATTATCTATTGTTTTTATTCATATTTTTATTTTCTAACTTACAAAATTAACCCACCATCCGTACCCCCACCCATTATCCGAATTTGCCCCACCCCCGATATGATACGGGACATAAGCGAATTTTTATAAACTCGTTCCAAACCCAACCCGTGGCTATCCCTGTTTGGCATAAGTTATTTTGGCTAAATTAGTCAATAAAGATAAAATAAGCTAATTGATGATACATCACCAAATTTGAGCTTATCTAAATTGCTCGAATTTGTGTATGTTGGTTGACACGCCGGTTATTCGAGTGGTCGTCCAGAATAATGCGATTGACAAGAGTGACATCTGTGATTAATAAGGGTGATGCCGGTCATTCAAGCAGTCGTCAGGCTTACATAATTCGGGCGAACTCAAATTCGGTGAATCAATCATTTTTTTATATTCAATAAGATAAAATATCATCCAAACTAGATTCTTAAATTTTTTTTCACAACCATTAAATCAATTACAAATTTTTTTTTATCCCAAATAACTTTTTTTAATCAAATTAAAATAATCAAAAAATCAAACTAATCCAAAACGAGAGCTTAATTTAACGGTGGTTCTACACGAATTAATTGGTATATCAATTAATTGACCCATATATGTTATGATATTATCACTTCAAAATTATAACCTCACCCATTAGACAAATTAAAAAAATTTAAAATCTATAAAATTATATCACATTATCTATTAATGCATTAATTAATATATCAATTAATACATAAAACATTACTCTTAATTTAATCATAACCCACCAGATATTTTCCTTCTCAAAACAAAATAAGTATTAGACATTTTTGTAATTTCGTCCCCCAATTCGTCCATTTTCAACTCCCCAACCCCACTTTTCATATACAATCTCGAGCACTCTCTCTCTTCCTCGATCAATATATATATATATATAGAGAGAGAGAGAGAGAAAGTAGAGAGAGAGAAAGTAGAGAGAGAAGCAGAAGAACTATACCTATATATATAGAGAGAGAGAGCAGAGGAGGAGGAGGTGGTGTTGTGGAGATGGGGATGAAGGGAGAAGAAGAGGAAGCTGGGTTTCAGAGCTCGGGGAAGAGGCTAAAGTACGCCAGAGGTGAAGAGAGAGAGGAAGAGGAAGAAGAAGAAGAGGTGGAGGAGGGGGAGAGAGAGAGTGAGCTTCCGTTGAAGCTTGGAAATTTCTTCTACCCCATGATTCCAGCTGCTTTCGTTGTTTCTGACGCTTTAGAACCCGATTTTCCCATCATTTACGTCAACAAAGTGTTCGAGATCTTCACTGGCTATCGCGCCGACGAAGTTCTAGGTCGAAACTGGTAATTTTGATGTTAAAATTAACTCCTTTAATTGATTCGAGTTTAAAATGTTTGATTGTTTTGATTTTTGAATTTCTTTTTGGTTCAATTATGATCTGTTTGGTTCCTGAGAAAACAAAAGGGTAGAATTTAAAATAGTGAAAAACTTAAATTTGTTGTACCTAACTATATGGTTTTTTTTAGAATGAGGATTTGTTTTATGTATTCAGCCTCATAAACTAGTAATTTCTTCCATTAAAATTTTCAAGGGGTTACAGAAGATCTGTTATATATACAACAATTACATTGCCTCTTTAAAGATGATTGGTTGCTCTAAAATTGGAGGCTAGTTTGAGTTAAAGAGGAATCAACAATTTTGGGGTTTGATGAAATTCTAATTCCTTAGTTCAGGGTTGCTATTTTTAAAATTTGGGTTCATTTGGAGGAACTTCAAGCTTGCATTTTTTATGCAGCAGCTAAAACACTCTTGCTGCTTTTGATTGACTTGTTGAGGTTTTTGTGGTTTTTGATGTCTATTGCCATTGGGTTCAGGAAATTTTGTTTGAGACTGATATCAAATATCTGATTGTTTGGGGATAATTTTCTCCGTTTTGTGTGTGGGGTAATATTGCACTTGTATTGGTTAGGAGTTCATTAAGTTTGACTATTACATTATCTGAGAGTATCTTTCTCAAAAGTACAGATTCTTCTTGATATGAATTATTTTCGGATTGTTTGATTGGACGGAAAACTAGAAAATGTTTTCCATATTTTCTGTGTTTGGTATAATGGAAAACAAAAGTCAAAAATATTTTTTTATGGCCAATGTAAAACAAGCCTAGTTGGGCAGAAAATATTTTTCAGACTAAAATTTTACCAATGTAATCACACCACCACCACCACCACCACCACCACCACCACCACTCTCACCTCCACCACCACACCACCATCACTACGGCCACCATTGCCATCGTCGCCCCACACCATGCCACCACCTCCACGTCCACCTTTGTTTCACGACCACTACTACCAAATATAGAAAAATGTTTTCTCCGAAAAACATTTCTGAATTTTTATTATTATTTTTTATTTTTTGGTAGAAAATGTTTTCCACTAGAAAATGTTTTTTGCCCAAACAAACGGTGCGTAAATCTTGTGAATTGTTTTTTCTAACAATCATTTTGTCTCCAGCCAATAAAAAAATATCATTTTGTGGAATATTTATAAATTCTCTGCATTTTTTTTAATTAAAAAATGTAGTTTTCCATTTTTGGTGATCATTTGCATCTGGATTGAGATCGGCACATGCATTTATGGTTTTGTCAGTACTGTCTTTAAAATTTGTCATTATCTTATGATACAAAAAATTTGTATTCTCATTATGGAAATCTTTTGCAACAGTCGGTTCTTACAGTATAGAGATTCTCGTGCCCAAAGACGACACCCTTTAGTGGATCCTGTTATTGTTTCTGAGGTCCGAAGATGTCTTGAGGAAGGCATCAAATTCCAAGGTGAGCTTCTCAATTTCAGAAAGGATGGCACTCCCTTGGTGAACAGGCTAAGACTTGCCCCGATACATGGTGATGATGGAACAGTGACACATGTAATAGGAATTCAAGTGTTTTCTGAAGCAAAAATAGATATGAGTAGTGTATCATATCCAGTTTTTAAAGAAACTTGCCAGCAACAACTTGATCAATCTGGTATGTGCTCTCCAAAGAGTGGACAATTACTATACAAGCAAAACCCAGAAATATGTGGGATTCTTCAGCTCTCCGATGAGGTCCTGGCTCACAACATCTTGTCACGCTTGACGCCAAGGGATGTTGCATCCATTGGCTCTGTCTGCAGAAGGATTCGTCAGTTAACAAAGAACGATCATGTGAGGAAGATGGTATGTCAAAATGCATGGGGAAGAGAAGTCACAGGCACATTGGAGCTAATGACTAAGAAACTACGTTGGGGTCGTCTGGCTAGGGAACTGACCACTCTTGAGGCTATTTGTTGGAGGAAGCTCACAGTTGGAGGTGCAGTGGAACCTTCACGCTGCAATTTCAGTGCATGTGCAGCAGGGAATCGACTTGTATTGTTTGGAGGGGAAGGAATTAACATGCAACCAATGGCTGACACATTTGTTCTCAATCTTGATGCTGCGAATCCAGAGTGGCATCGGTTGAGTGTAGAATCATCCCCACCAGGGCGCTGGGGCCATACACTCTCATGCCTCAACGGGTCCTGGTTAGTTGTATTTGGTGGATGTGGGCGACAAGGATTGCTCAACGACGTGTTTGTTCTTGACTTGGATGCCAAACGACCAACATGGAAGGAAGTTTTAGGTGGAAAACCCCCTCTCCCTCGATCTTGGCATAGCTCTTGCACCATAGAAGGCTCCAAATTAGTTGTCTCTGGTGGATGCACCGATGCTGGCGTACTTCTGAGTGATACATATCTATTAGATCTCTTGACAGATAAACCAACGTGGAAAGAAATACCCACTTCGTGGGCTCCCCCTTCTAGATTGGGGCACTCACTTTCCGTTTATGGGAGGACAAAGATTCTTATGTTTGGTGGGCTTGCCAAGAGTGGAAATTTGCGATTGCGATCAGGTGAGGCATACACAATTGATTTAGAAGATGAAAAACCGCAATGGAGGCAACTAGAATGCGGTGCGTTCACTGGCATAGGTGGTCAGAACGCTGTGGTTCCTCCTCCTAGACTAGACCATGTTGCTGTGAGCATGCCTTGTGGGAGGATTATCATCTTTGGCGGTTCTATTGCTGGGCTATACTCTCCTTCGCAGCTTTTCTTGTTGGATCCTTCCGAGGAGAAACCGTCGTGGAGGATTATTAATGTTCCTGGGCAACCACCAAAATTTGCTTGGGGTCATAGCACATGCGTGGTTGGAGGAACAAGGGTTTTGGTTCTTGGAGGGCACACCGGGGAGGAATGGAGTCTCAATGAATTACATGAGTTGTGCTTGGCAAGCAAACAGGATTCGGATCCATGATTTTAAATTTCAAGTTTGCGACATTTGAGTGGGATTTTCTTCAAGCTCTTGGAGGCTACAGGAGGTTTCTTCATCTTCTGTCTGCTGTTTGTTGTCTGAAGTATTGTATATGAAGTGTAGGCTGGTGATTGAGTTTGTTATGCTTTATGTTCCTGATATTTAACCTGAAAATTATGTTTTGTATTTGCGTACCTATTTTAGCTCTCATGTATGGTATTTTTAATGGTTATTTTGATGTATACTCTTTGTGAAAAAAAAAAAAAAAACAAAACAAAACAAAACAAACAAAGAAAGTTGTGCTGCTTGTTTGAGCTTTTCCATTCCAATCTTTTAGGTATTCTGCAAGCAGCAAGATGTTTATAGGCTTTGTCAAATAATCAACTTGATATAACTTTTTCATTAGCTCACTTATTAAACAAACAACTTTATCCTCAGTTTGAAAATTATGGCAATACCATTAGGCACTGAAAAGTGAAAACTTCGATGGGCATAAGGTTGGAGCATAGAGTGCTATGTTGATCGGAAGCTACTGACTGCAACAACGACCACTAGTTGATTAAGATTTGGATTGGATCTTTTTCATTTGAGGCCTAAGTAAGTAAACACAAAATTTGGACATAGTATAAGAGTCAATTCTGTTATTATTTTTATTAATTAATTTTTTTTGGAGGCTTTAAATTTTAGTAAAAATTGGCTCTTATACTATGTCCAAATTTTATGTAATTTTATAATTTTATGTTAAAAGTAAGGGTTTTTTTTTTTAATTTTAAGGTTACTCATATCAAGATTTTATAAGATAAAAAATAATAAATATTGTAGTAGTAGCGAATGTCTTTGGAAAATACGGAAGCAATTTTTGGATTTCAACGCACACTGATCATCCAACGTCTTTCACTTTTTGACAAATTTTAGAACTTAAAAATTCAATAACTTTTGATTTAGATATCCATTTTCAATGAAATTTATATTTTGAGAATGCTCTCATTGAGATCTATCAAATAAGATCTATGATAAATATGAAATTCTAGGGAAAAAAATAGACAATTTCACTCAATTAGCTAGCTATCTTCAGTCAAAAAATTTGAAATTTCTTTGAGGGAAAATAAACAATTTAGAAGTTTCTTTAAGCAATTTAGAAATTTCTCTGAGAGAAGATAAACAATTTTGAAGTATATCTAAGAGAGAATAAGCAATTTAGAAATTTATATGAGAGAAAATAAGCAATTCTGAAATTTTTTTGAGCAATTCTGAATGAAGGGCAAAAAAGAAAAAAAAAAGAAAGAAAAAAAGCTAGCGAAAAGGACTTAAACAACTACATTCAAAACACAACCCAAGGGTTGGTGGCAACCTGGTAAGGGCCTAGGGTTTAAGCCCCTAGGTCCTGGGTTCAATTCCCCTCTGGGCCAATCTCCTGGGTGTAGCACAGTTGGTTAGGAGGTTGACCTCAGGATGCCTAATCAGCAGCTTTGTAATAACTCTCACACTGTCTTAACCATACTCATATGCATTCATATGATTCTGTCTTGTTAAGCTTGCATTTCAAGTCTTGACCTTGTTCGCTTAAGTGTTACAGCATGCTTTGTACCTTGCTCGGTGTGGGTCTAGCCGAGGTCACCCTGAGCCTAGGTCAGTTTTGAACTTCTTACATCTAAGACCATCTTGGAATTTACTCTGGTTGATTCCACCTTCGCTCTGACATGTTAGCCGAGATGTCATTATTTAGGCTAAGGTGTTCATCGCCTAGGCCGAGATGTGTATTATCTAGGCCGAGATGTTACCCTTGAACCCAAGTGACCTCTCCTGGATTGGTACGACCTAGACCAAGGTGTGGCACATCTAGGCCAAGGTGTGGCACAACTCGGCCAAGTGTTGTCCTTTCTAGCCGAGGTCTTTGCCCCTTGCTTGTCGAAGTCTTGTTGTTAGCCGATGTCGTTACTTGTCGGAGTGCTCTTGCCGCCTAGCTTGTTGAGTACACTTTGTCATAGTCTTGTCTTTTCACTCAGTCACCTTTTGAGTAGAACCAACCAGCCGTTGCCACGTACCCCTGCAGAGGGTTAAGTCAGCCGACAGACCCAGAAAACATATCCTTGCCTTGTAGAGAGAGAGAAGCTCTAGGAAGGAGAAGAAGTTTTAGAGTGAGAGAGTGGGCTTTCGAGCTTGATTCCTTGCCTTGTAGAGAGAGAGAAGCTCTAGGAAGGAGAAGAAGTTTTAGAGTGAGAGAGTGGGCTTTCGAGCTTGATTCCTAGAGATCAAACCGTTGGATTCGTGTATTGAGGTTAGATTCTTGATTTACTCTTGTTGTTCTTATTGCTCATCAAGCTGCATTGCACGATCGAACCTGTTCTGCACGTCATGCATTGATTTAAAGTTGGTTTTAGAAAGAGAAAATAGTGTTCATGTGTTCTTGAAGAAAAAGTCTTGTTTGATCCAAAAAAAAAACAAAACAACTTGTTTTGAGAAGTGCATTTAATAGACTTTGCCATGTGTTTGTAGGACTTGGACTTGCCTTGACCCCGACATTTGAAGAACTATGTGAGTGGTATTTTTGATAAAGTTATGTTATTAAGTTTTGACAAAGTTTTGCCTTACTTGTTTTGGAAAAGTATTTGTTAAGCATGAATGACTATCCCTATTTTGTGTATCAAGTATTAACTTTGGTTTTGACAATCTTTGAAAGTCCGTACGTGCTAAGGGACTATAAGCATTTGTAGCACAATCTTTGAAAGTCTGTACGTGCTAAGGGACTATAACCATTTGTAGCACAATCTTTGAAAGTTCGTACGTGTTAGGGGACTATAAGCATTTGTACCACAATCTTTGAAAGTCCGTACGTGCTAGGACACTATAAGCATTTGTAGCACAACCTTTGTTAATGTCATACCTTGGAACTTGAAAGCCTTGAACGACTTTAATTGTTGAGACTTGAAAGATTTGTTAGATAAACTTGATTTGCCTTGGATTTTGTACAAGATGTGATGTGCCTTGATTAGATAAAGATTTCGGATATCATTTATGTAAACTCTTTTATTATTTATATCATTCACTGAGTATCCAAGCTCACCCATTTCTATATATATATGTAGGTGACGAACAGGACGGCGGTGACGCCTAGATGTACTTGCCACTTGTTTTGGATTTTGCACTTTTGCAGCATCTTGAAGATTATGCTTCTTAGTTGTATTTCATTGTATTTTGTATTTGATGGCTGAGAAGCCTTTTGGTCAAGATGTATTTTTTTGTACTTTATTTTGTTGTATTAAAACTATGTAAAGATGTATGCCATTCCATTTAACTTATGCACTGCTCTTATGAACTACTTAGCTTTGAATTTATTACTTACGCATTTGTAAGCCCCATATGTATACTCTGTTGTGTGTGAAACCTTGCAGTTGGCCTTGGGTAATTGTGAATTACTGGCCATCATGGCACCATTCTACTAGGGGTGGAATGGGGTCGTGACAGATTGGTATCAGAGCACAAGTTTCTTATCGTACATTATTTACACACTTGAGTCCTAAAGAGTATAGGATTTCCCTTAGAAAAATGTTAGGATCGCATCATATTGCTTGCTATTTGACGAGGTGTGCATCATCTCGGCATGACCATTTGTTATTTGTATACATGATTCTTGGTCCAGTTTGTTTTAAAGTTGCATTTTGCATACTCATAGCATCATGAGGAGAGGTAGACCACCAGTTGGCCGAGATCAATCAGAGGATAGACCAGACAGACTAGAAAGACTGGTTGAAGGTTTAACCCGTGAGTTGAGACAAATGAGGCAACAGAATGCTAGTGCTACATCTACCTAGGCCGAGCAGACGAATGGCCTACATGCAGTTCCGCCTCCACCTCCTCCAGTGCCTCAAGTGCCTCCGCAGCCAGCCTTGTATGGGGACGGCACGATCGCCTTGATTAGGGAGTTTAAGAAGATGAAACCGCTGAGATTCTCAGGGGGTATAGAGCCGATGAAGGCCGAGGCATGGGTTTTGAAAATGGAGAAGTTGTTCGAGATCTTCCCCAGCACTGACGCTCAGAAGGTGACATTGGTAGCATTCACATTAGACGACAACGCTCGAAGGTGGTGGATGATGATCCGGGAAGCTAATCTTGGTTTAACTTGGGCCAGATTTTTGAAACTATTTTACAACAAGCATTTTCCCCTTAGCGTTCGAGATTGCAAGACCACAGAGTTTCAAGCCCTGACGCAAGGCAACAGGACAGTGGCAGAATACGACCGTGCTTTCACCGAATTGGCGAGATACGCGTCTCATATGGTCAATGATGAATATAGAAAAGCCAGGAAGTTTGAAAGTGGACTGCGTGGACCGATACAGGATCGAGTCAACATGCTCAATATGCCGACTTACGCCGAGGTGTTAGACAAGGCCATTCTGGCGGAAGCTAACCTAAACCGATATCAAAATTCAGGAGAGAGTCAGAGAAAGAGACAAAACTTTGAAAGTCGTCGGATGTCGTTTAATGCCAAGAAGAAGGCGAACGTGGGCAGCTCCAGCAACTCAAATCGGGATGGTAATACTAAGCCGGCGTGTGTGATTTGTGGGAAGCCGCATCTCGGGATTTGTCGTTGGGCGACAGGGGCCTGCTTTGAATGTGGCGAGATAGGCCACCACGTGAAAGACTGTCCGAAGGTAAGGGCTGATGATGGTAAGAAAAATGGGAGCACCTCGGGCTCTGTACACGGAAGCAACGTCGGAAGGACACAGATGAGATAGGGCAAAGTTTTTGCTCTAGTGCTAGGAGACACCCAGAATGCTGAAACGGTAGTGTCAGGTACACTCTCAATTTGCTCTCAAGTTGCATACATTGTGATTGATTCGGGCTCTACACATTCATTTGTATCTGTTAAATTTGCCGAGAAGATGAACAGACCGTTAGAACCCCTTGATTATGTGCTATCTGTATCTACTCCACCTGGGGGAACTAAAATTGTTGCATCCATATATAGGGTGTGTGTTGTGGTGATTGAGGGTGTAGAATTATTAGTTGATTTGATGCCATTAAGCATGACTCACTTCGATTTCATATTGGGAATGGATTGGTTAGTAGCGAATCATGCATCCATTAATTGTGTTACTAAGAGCGTCACATTGAAGACCCCAAACCAAGCCGAGGTCATTTTTCAGGGTAAGGGAGCAGTACCCCCACCTTACTTAATCTCATTCATGAAAGCCTATAAGTT